TAGGGTGTTTCTGCCTGTCGGTTCTGTAATACACATGTTTCGAGTTGGAAGGGAATTAAAATTGTAAACAGAAAAGTCTTAGATTGTTATGCCCTCTGCCTTCTATGGATTCCCAAGTTCATTTTTTCATTATTCAAACATTTATTGAATTTTTCTCACAGATTCAGTGATGGGAGAGGCAAATGAATCAAGGGTTCATCTTTTTTCCTAAGAAAGATTGTTTCTTTGTGTTTGAAAGCTTTCTTTTTTTTCCTCTTTCTTTCTTTCTTTCTTTCCTTCCAATCACAGCTAAGAAGTGGAAAAACAGAGAAATGAAAATTTCTTATCAGGTTGGATACGTCTTCTAATTGGCGTGCCAGCCTTTATTATCAAAATGACTAGTCGGCAAATCGTGGATGATGATTTACGATAGAAGAAAGTTGAAACAATGAAGGAATATTATTAGTTTTAGAATTTCCATTTTTGACAAGAAGCCAAGATGATCATGACTGGTCTTCTGGTCTCTTACTGTTTAAACTACTAAACTATATCTTGGAACCACATGTTGATGTGAATGTAAAGCCATACTGTATAGATGTGTATAGCTGTTAAAGATTGTGGCCGTTGAATGTTGGCTTTCATTATCAATATAATATAATATATATATGTATATATGTGCATATAAATTATTATTTTTTTTTAAATTTCCAAACAATTGACGAGCCAATAATCTTGGTTCATGTGAACCATCTTTTTTTTTTTTTTTTTCAAAAAAAAACTTTGAAATGAAAAATCAACTAATAAAAGTCAATTGACTATTCTATGGCTATAAACCGTACACAATTTATTAATTTCATATATATATATATGCACCATAATACCAAGTCCGATCATTTTTTAGCTTTACTAGTGCACCACCTTTTTAAATAATATATTTTGTATATGTTTATATTATATCTTAATTTATTTATTTATTCGCAAATATAGTTTTGCATATATTAAATTATTTTTTTTTTAAATTTTTTACAAATATTGTAATTATATACAAAATGGGTATGTTTTCTCAAATCTCATCTTCTATATTTTGTCTTAATATAAAATTTATTTTGGGGCTAATAAACTTATCTAAAAAATGTCTTTATAGATTTCCCATTGTAGATGATGTTTCGGTTTCATCGTCTCAAAATAAAAATATATATTACATATATTAATTCAATTTTCGAATATTTTTAGGGTAAAAATGTAAATATACGGAAAAGTAAATCCTACAGCAGCCGTCGCGTTTGATATGGAAAACCGGAAGCACGCAAACCAAGACTTGACTGCTTCACGGTTGTCTCCGTAGGCGCGAGAAACCTCCCGTAGTAAGATGCCACGTAAGCAATGCGATGTCATCTTGCTGATGTGGCTTGTCCCGATTGACTTTTGGTTCGCCAATATTAAACCTCTTTTGTCTTCTTTATTTTTATTAAAATAATATTTAAACAAAATTCAAATGACTAAAAGTAATTTAGCTTTAAACTAATTTTAAAATGGTAATAATTGTTTAAATATATAGAATTTTAAAGTTATACGATTCTTTTTAATTATTACGTCACTTTAAGAAAGGAAGTTCATGAATTAAAAAATTATTAAAAAAAAGCAAATTTCTGTTTTACGATAAGGACCTTTACTGTGTGTTAGAAATGGAAGAAATAATAAAAAAAATATATATATATATATATATAAAGATTATACTAAGGGCATAATGGTCAAATCAAATGTTTGACAGGTAACGAGAAAACCATAAATCTTAAACGAGGATCTTTTCAGTTTCTGAACTTTATCAGTTTTACGCCACGTGGCATCAGGAGAGCACATTAGTTGTACACGAAACATGTTACGTGGCCGAAGAGAAAAGTTGTTATTATTTTTGTATAAATTATTAAATTATTTTCTAAAATTAACAGTTTAGTTTTTTATTGTAATTTAATTTTTAAATTTTTTTTTTATTTTAAACGTGCAGTTTTTTATTTTTAATATAAATTAAAATAATTTTATTGTATTTAAATGTATTAAAAGTTATTAGAATAGTAATTTTAGTTAATCAATTGAGTTACTGATTAATAAAATAATAATAATAATTAATTTAATTAATTATCTAAACAATTTTTAAAATATTTGAATATATTTCAACTACTTTATTTTTCAAATTTAAAAAATTATAATACAATAAAAAAATTATAAATTAAATTGTAAAAATATTAAAAATTTCAGACTAACTTAATACTTTTTTAACTATTATTTTATAAAACAAACGGCACAACTCTACTTCCGAATTACGTGGGTAATATCGTCATTTTACGTTAATGAATTTACCAAAAGGCCCTTGTCTTCAAATCTTCTCTCTCCCCCCTTCTCTGTGTGTTCTTCTCTCTCCCAAATTTATGCTTAACCAGGTGGGTATATTCTTTGGTTCGATTCGCTTCGTACTAAGCGTAACATTTCTTTTTAAGATTCTTCTTCTCTTCTCCTTTCAGTTAGGGGCTGGTAGCAAATCTCTGAACTTTACATATCAAGTTTAATTAATACTCAGGTAATCTGTTTACTCTTATTTAATCTTGATGGGGCTTTGTTTATTTTTTTAATGGTGGTTTTTGCTGACGGTAATTCCTGGATGCATTTCAATTTTTTTTTGTTTTTATGGGAATTCATTGAGAGTGATGTAACTGGGTCTTCTTCTTTTTTCTTTTTTGGGTCTGTAGAAGCGGCCAATTTCAGTCGAGGATTTGTGGTATTGTAATATC